TATTTTGATTCCTCAGTGCTGTGTAATGTAACATAGTCACAGTTTCCAGAGATTAGGACATGACTTCTTTGAGAGAGGGGTCATTATTCTGCCTACTGCACTACTTCAGTCAATATCTTAAAAAAATAAAGATTAAAAAAACACGATCACACCACCATTGCTTATTTGCCATCTGTACATATCCTTCACTGAAATGTCTGTTCGTGACTTTGATCCATTTTCTAATTGCATTGTTCATTTGTTTGTTTAATGTTAAGATTTGAGTGTTCTTTATATATTCCAAATATAAATGCTTTGTAAAATATGTGGTTTGCAGACTTTTCTCCCTTTCTATAGTTTGTCTTTTCTTCTTCTTCACAACGTCTTTTGAAGAACAAAAATTTTAAATTGATGAGGTCCAGTTTATAGATCTTTCCTTCTATGGGCTGTGTTTTGGATGTCAAATCTGAGAAGGTTTTGCTTTGTCTTAGGTCCAGAAGATTTTCTCATTTTTTTTTCCTTAAAAGTTTTGTGGGTTTTCATTTTACATTTAAGTCCACGATCCATTTTGAGTTAATTCTTGTGTAAGGTGTGAAGGTCAAGATGTCTTTGTTTTGTTTGTTTTTGGTCTATGGATGTCTAGTTTCTCTGGCACCATTTGTTAAAAAGACTATTCTCTCTCCATTATCTTGTCAATAAATGTTTTTAGCCAAATGTGCTTTTGAAGCCAACTAGGTATGAAGATCATTTCTTTTTTTTGCAAAAGAATTTAAATTACTGATGTTATTTCCTTAATAGATATGGGACCATTCATATTTTCCATATCTTTTTGTTACATAGTCTTCTCATGACAGTAAAGTATATTTCTGATAAGAGAGGAAAGGAACCAAACTCCAAAGGAACAGCAAAATTTAGCATACATGTACCAGCCTGAGCTGGAAGAGTATCTTGGGTCTCGATTTTGAGGGTGCTTGATCAAGGAAGCTGGGACACAAGAATGGATTAGGGGGAACTCATTGACTTAGGAGTACTCTTTCTGGATATAGGCTATTACTTCCTGGTAAGGATCCCAGAGGTTGGTGTGATTTTGCAGCCAGGAAAGCTCCAGAATCCTGGAGAAATCAATGACTCATGTGGAGTGAACTTAAAATATTTGAATTCATGACAGATGGAGGAGGAAGGGATGAAAATGACTGTGGAAGTGGGCGTGGTGGAGTAGATGTACCATGTGAGGCTGAAAGACCATCCATGTTACATTCTATGGGAAGTCCCAGAGAACACACTATTCATCAAGCCATCAGGGTTGGCTGGTGAGACAGGGACCAGCATCAGTGGTATTTCTCTTTTTCCAGCTAGGACTGAGGGTAGGAATGGCTGATACAAAACTTGGCCCATTGATAGCAGTGGGGATCATGCCCTCCCTGCTTGTATCTTCAGAATTATATCTCTCATCTTTTTTGTAAAACTGTTAGCCATTATTTCTTCAGATCTATTTGCTGTCTCATTCTCTCTCCTCTTTTTTTTTTGCCACTTTATTTCTTAATTGAAGTATAATTGTTTTACAGAAGCTTGTGGTTTTCTGCCAAACATCAACAGGAGTCAGCCATAATTACACCCGTGTCCCTTTGCTTCTCAACCTCCTTCCCGTTTCCCTCTCTTCTCCCCCTTCTAGATTGTCACAGAGCCCCTGTTTGAGTTCCCTGGGTCATACAACAAACTCCCATTTCTTCTCTCCTTTTGAGATTCTAGTCGCCCAGACGACAGATGCCCTGCTCTATCCTCTGTGGCTCTTATCCTCTCTTTTGTATTTTTTAGTTTTTTGTTTCCCCTTGCTTCATTTTGATCTGTTTGAACTTTACCGGTATTTCTTCTATTGGTTTTAACCTGTTCTGACGTTTTATTTCAGTTTTTGCATTTTTTGGTTCCAGAATTTATGTCAAATCTGAGAAGGTTTTGCTTTGTCTTAGGTCCAGAAGATTTTCTCATTTTTTTTTCCTTAAAAGTTTTGTGGGTTTTCATTTTACATTTAAGTCCACGATCCATTTTGAGTTAATTCTTGTGTAAGGTGTGAAGGTCAAGATGTCTTTGTTTTGTTTGTTTTTGGTCTATGGATGTCTAGTTTCTCTGGCACCATTTGTTAAAAAGACTATTCTCTCTCCATTATCTTGTCAATAAATGTTTTTAGCCAAATGTGCTTTTGAAGCCAACTAGGTATGAAGATCATTTCTTTTTTTTGCAAAAGAATTTAAATTACTGATGTTATTTCCTTAATAGATATGGGACCATTCATATTTTCCATATCTTTTTGTTACATAGTCTTCTCATGACAGTAAAGTATATTTCTGATAAGAGAGGAAAGGAACCAAACTCCAAAGGAACAGCAAAATTTAGCATACATGTACCAGCCTGAGCTGGAAGAGTATCTTGGGTCTCGATTTTGAGGGTGCTTGATCAAGGAAGCTGGGACACAAGAATGGATTAGGGGGAACTCATTGACTTAGGAGTACTCTTTCTGGATATAGGCTATTACTTCCTGGTAAGGATCCCAGAGGTTGGTGTGATTTTGCAGCCAGGAAAGCTCCAGAATCCTGGAGAAATCAATGACTCATGTGGAGTGAACTTAAAATATTTGAATTCATGACAGATGGAGGAGGAAGGGATGAAAATGACTGTGGAAGTGGGCGTGGTGGAGTAGATGTACCATGTGAGGCTGAAAGACCATCCATGTTACATTCTATGGGAAGTCCCAGAGAACACACTATTCATCAAGCCATCAGGGTTGGCTGGTGAGACAGGGACCAGCATCAGTGGTATTTCTCTTTTTCCAGCTAGGACTGAGGGTAGGAATGGCTGATACAAAACTTGGCCCATTGATAGCAGTGGGGATCATGCCCTCCCTGCTTGTATCTTCAGAATTATATCTCTCATCTTTTTTGTAAAACTGTTAGCCATTATTTCTTCAGATCTATTTGCTGTCTCATTCTCTCTCCTCTTTTTTTTTTGCCACTTTATTTCTTAATTGAAGTATAATTGTTTTACAGAAGCTTGTGGTTTTCTGCCAAACATCAACAGGAGTCAGCCATAATTACACCCGTGTCCCTTTGCTTCTCAACCTCCTTCCCGTTTCCCTCTCTTCTCCCCCTTCTAGATTGTCACAGAGCCCCTGTTTGAGTTCCCTGGGTCATACAACAAACTCCCATTTCTTCTCTCCTTTTGAGATTCTAGTCGCCCAGACGACAGATGCCCTGCTCTATCCTCTGTGGCTCTTATCCTCTCTTTTGTATTTTTTAGTTTTTTGTTTCCCCTTGCTTCATTTTGATCTGTTTGAACTTTACCGGTATTTCTTCTATTGGTTTTAACCTGTTCTGACGTTTTATTTCAGTTTTTGCATTTTTTGGTTCCGGAATTCATTTTTTACTTTTACATATCTGCAAGGATACTCATGATAACTTCCAGTTCCTCACCAAAAAGCTCAAGCTTCTTTGTCAGGCATTTGTGGCATCAGCGTCTGGGATCGTATTTAAAAATATTCAATGAGTTTGAGATTTTCTAAACTCCCCAAGTGATGGGAGCTGGCCTCCTCTTGTTCAAGGGATGGTTTCCTTCTCATTTACTTTTCCTCCTAAGGCATCAGCCCAGGCAGAGGATGGTTACTTGTGGTTCCTGCATTTGGGCAGCCTGGTACGTTGTTCTCCACCAGCCCAGTAAGGCTGAGAAATGTTCAGCTCACCTTCTTAGCCACCTTTTCTGAACTGCAAACATCCTCAGACTAGAAGAGGTCTCAGTGCCAGGCTATCTCTGGATTTCTATCCTTTCTTTAACCAACAATTCACTTCTGGCTCGCTGAGGTAGTCTGTCTCTTGCCAGGGAATTGTGCATTCCTGGTAAATCTGCTTCAAGCAGAACTCTGAGAGACAAGTTCTTAGTGTTTAGTTGAGAGAGTGGGTTTTGCTCTCGTATGCAGATTTGACCACAGCGTTACTAGCTGTGTGACCTTGGACAAGCTCACTGAAACTGTTTTCTCATATGTCAAAGGGAGATATTCAGTGTACACACAGCACAGTGATTTTGAAGAATAGACCATGCATGTAAATCCCTTAGTATAGGCTGTGGTTCATAGCAAGTCCTCAAAAGCTGTTAGTCCTTATTCTTAAAAAAAGCTGAATTTATGAAAATGCATAAATATGCATGCTCGAATGCTTTCAGTTCAGTTCATTCGCTCAGTTGTGTCTGACTGTTCATGATCCCATGAATTGCAGCACGCCAGGCCTCCCTGTCCATCACCAACTCCCGGAGTTTATTCAAACTCATGTCCATTGAGTCGGTGATGCCATCCAGCCATCTCATCCTCTGTCGTCCCCTTCTCCTCCTGCCCCCAATCCCTCCCAGCATCAGGGTCTTTTCCAATGAGTCAGCTCTTCACATCAGGTGGCCAAAGTATTAGAGTTTCAGCTTCAGCATCAGTCCTTCCAATGAACACCCAGGACTGATCTCCTTTAGGATGGACTGGTTGGATCTCCTTGCAGTGCAAGGGACTCTCAAGAGTCTTCTCCAACACCACAGTTCAAAAGCATCAATTCTTCTGAGCTCAGCTTTCTTCACAGTCCAACTCTCACATCCATACATGACCACTGGAAAAACCATAGTCTTGACTAGATGGACCTTTGTTGGCAAAGTAATGTCTTTAATTTAAATGATGGATTTCCTTGGTGTACATTAGTTTGCATTTGTTTTTAATCCTTTGCTTTTTTCCTGGCCTACAAGAAGTATTTCACTGGTATAAAGCTGGTGTGGTTGGAATGACACTTATCCTCATTCTCTTGACTTCCCTTTCTACTCAGATGCCTCGGAGCATTCTTTCTTATTCTCTCCAACCAGTGAAACTGATTTATCAGGGGGAAAAAAAAGTGAAGCCGAAAGTCTAAAATATATCTAAGAAACAAGAATAATCTTTATTATTCTAACATTTTTAATAGAGGAAAAGTCTCAGAAAAATTCAATAAGCATCTGTTGATGGATGTGGTCCAAGGTCTAAAGTGTAAATCATTACCCCTCAGCCTCTGCGTGATTGACTGGGAAGGGGCTTGGGAATGAGAGGGATTTCATTGAGAGGAAATCATAGGATTTCTCAGAGAAAGCATCAAATGAATAAAATGATTTACAGCATTTCAGTAGCTTAACTAAAGTAAAGGAAGTTTCCAGAATATGATGAGTGGAGGGGAGAGGGACGCATGGGAGAGGGAACTTCTGGGCTTGCAGTCCCCTGGTTCAGGTCCCTGCTGCCCAATCTCTACCCACATTTCAATGGGTTCCTTCTGGACCAGTCAGGGACTCTTCTTCAGGTCCCTGATGTATTTCTGGACCCAGCTGTCAGCAGGATTGCCACAGACATATTGGCCCCTTCTGGTGAGGAAGCTGTGGAGAGGGCAGACGTATAATACAGAGGATGAGTAGGGATGGTTTTGACCACCTGTGGCCTCTGCATCTTCGTCCCTGTGGGATTTACGGAGATAACCTCAGGCCACCTCCTTTCCACTGTCCCTTCCTTTCCTCTCTTCCCTCTACTTCTGGCCACATCTTCCCTGGCTCCCTGCAGCCCTCACCCCATGTCAGGAGACAGCCCAGTGACCTGTATGCACAAAAGGCCCCAACAGTGCTGAGCACCTTCCCAGGACGACCCTTTTCCATGAACTGGTGCTCTTGAGATCTGCTTTCTGCTCTGACCCCTATGGATACTTCTCACCCCTGCCTCCATGTCCTGAGTCTCCCCAGGGTTGAACAGAAGGACTGACACTTACATGATACCAGGTCTGGCGCAGTTGCTACTGGTCTTAAAATAGTTAACCACATTTCTGTGGGGGATTTTCCCGGAGATGTAGGTGAAGCAGCAATTGGGAGGGGTGTAAACCCTTTCTGTACAGAAACAAGAATAACAGTTATGCAGGAGTGAAGGCAAGCCCCAGAGGGTCAGGAACACCTGGTGGGCAAAGGAAACTGGGAATCATTTGATTCTTTTGTTTGCTGGTTTCTCATTAATATCCCTAGTCTTGTCTTTGGACTTGTCTCTTCATTTGGTCTCTATCTTTCTCTACAGGGAACTAAACCCTAGATAGTCTACTCCCTACTCCCAGCTTCCTTTGTGGAAATATTTTCCTGATCAATTAAACCATAAGTGCATGCTAAATCACTTCTGTCGTGTCTGACTCTTTGTGACCCCATGGACTGTAGCCCAGCAGGATCCTTTGATTGTGGGATTCTCCAGGCAAAACTTCTGAAGTGGGTTGCCAGGCCCTCCTCCAGGGGAAATTCCCAACCCAGGGATCAAACCAGCATCTCAAGCATCTCCGGCATAGCAGGCAAAATTCTTTACCACTGAGCCACCGAGGAAGTCCCCTCTACCTAATGCTAACAAGTCAACACGTTAGACTTCAAGTTTCTCACCTAAAATGTAGGATAAAACCTCTCTTAACTCCAACCTGCAGCCCAAATCAATACACTCCTTTTGAAGCTTCTTGAAAAAAGCAACCATGTCATTTTTGAAACCCCATTCAATGTTCTTTAATTTCACATGAGGGTTCTTAAGCCACAGCATGCGGGCTGGACTTCAGACTAGAGTATGAGTAGCAACTGATAACGGAGAGCAGATAGCAGACTTACCTTGTGCATAGGAGCAGAGGGCCACGGTGCAGAGAAGGACAAAGACGGCAGCCAGGAGGACCTTCGTGATGCTGGACAGGCAGGCAGGAGAGTGTGGGCAGAGCTGAGAAGGGGCTTGGGAACTCACTGCTGCGTGTCTCCTTCTGGGATGTGAGCTGTCTTCTCTTCTTTTTCTGTATGTCCTGGGCTGTGGGAATATAAAAGTCAGAGGTATCTATGGTGGAATTTTAAGTGTAGTCGTATCATGTAAGTTTACCACCCAGTGCTGCCTATGATTACCAGAGGAGCTTAGAGAGCACATAGCACATAGTTCAGTTACCAATTTGCTTGTTCAGTTACCAAGTTGTTTCTCCAGATGGACCAGAAGTTGGCACCGCCCAGGGATCAGCCTTAGCTGTTTCCTTTCCATGTGACAGATTTCTCTCTGAAGTGAGTGATCAGAGCCTCCTTCTATAGAGCAGGAGGCCCTGATACACTCCCACAGTTGTCCTCAGTGTCTAAATGTGATGGGTAAAAACTCCACTGAGCCTCAAGAAGGATAAGTGAGCTTAACCACTTCCTAGATGGAAAGAACAGAATTGGAAAGCCTGGAGGTACAAGGATGGTGAAAGTCAGGATTAGCTTTCCAATAATTGGTCTATCTGTCAAATACCCATCACAACCCTACAATGAAGTCTGCATTTAATGCTGGATGAGGGTCAGCAGACTTAAAAATATCCATACTCTGAACCAGAAATTCTGTTTTTTCAGAATCTACACTATGGGAATGAACTCATAAATGGGGAAAACTTTAAGGACAGTGTTATTTGGGGTAGCTTATCTATGATAAAATAACCGACACTAAACTACCTCCTCTACAGTGATAGAATAATAGAGCAAATCCACTGACAGACGTAAAGGCTAATGTTTAGGACCCTAATGCCAGCCTCTTAAACAAATAGAGTGACATTCGCAGACTTAATTTTTTTGAAAACTAATTTTTATGGGCGTATAGTTTCTTTACAATGTTGTGTTAGCTTCTGCTGCATGGCAAAGTGAACCTGCTGTGTGTTTACATATGTGCCCTCTTTCTGAATTTCCTTCTCATTTAGGTCACCACAGAGCATCAAGTAGATTTCCCAGTGCTATATAGTAGATTTGCAATAGTTATCTCTTTTATACATAGTAGTGTATATATGTCCATCCCAATCTCCCAATTCATCCCATTCCCCTTTCTTCTGTGCTACCACATATATGCTCTCTATGCCCATGACAGACTTTATTTTTAATATTAAATATTAAAAAGCAAGATGCAAAACATCCTGGGAAGAGAAAAAAAAAAAAGGAAGAAATAAACCTGCTATCTGTGCTTATCTGCTCTTCATCCCACGTCCCTTGGGTTGTCTTCCTCCACAACCCTTGCCTGTCTCTAGGAAGTGGGAATGATCCTGATATGATACCAGGGTAGAAGGCTGTGGATACTACCATGATCATCAACAAATTTGTGGCGACTCTGGATAGAAATAAGAGAAGCAGCAGGCACTGAAGTAATTACCCTAACCATGAGGAAGTAGCTGTCAAGAGCCCCAGAAAAGCCAGGTCAATTTCTTTCCCCCTCGGAGGGCGGCTGGCCAGAAGTTGGTGGAGACCTCAGTGCTCAGGGCTGCAGAGTAAGACACAAAATGAACCAAGGAAACAGCATTTCTTCTTTAATTTGAATTACTGCTTTGAATCTCTGCCTGTCTTGTTCTCAGACTCTGGCTCCCTCTTCAGAGAATACAACTATTGGAGCAGGCAGCCCCTGTTCCATCTCTTTTGGGGGAACTTCATCTGGTCCACAGAGACATTTGCCAGCAAGATGCCACCTTCTGTACATCACCCGAAGAGTGGAGTTCCTTGTGAGAGTCAAGGGACTCTGTCATTTGGCTCATCCTAGAAACCAATTGGACCTGGCATTTGCATCTTGTTAATGAATGCTGAAACTCCACCTGATGGCCACCTGATGCGAAGAACTGACTACTTGGAAAAGACTGATGCTGGGAAAGATTGAAGGCAGGAGGAGAAGGGGATGACACAGGTTGAGATGGTTGGATGGCATCACCATCCATGATGATGGACATGAGTTTGAACAAGCTCTGGGAGTTGGTGATGGACAGGGAAGACTGGTGTGCGGCAGTTCATGGGGTCGCAAAGAGTTGGACATGACTGAGTGACTGAACTGAACTGAATGAATGCATTAGACCTCAATTTCCCCACTAAAAGTGGGTCCTAGTCCTCTTCTGCCTAGCTAGGATAGCTACAAGTTCTTGGGAAGTTTGGGGAGCAGTTTGGAGCATTTTGAAACCTTCTGTGAAGTTTTTTGCTTTCATGTGGGGAATCTCAACCATAGGCTTAAGTGATGTGGTTTAGACATCTGTCCAGAGCATTAAGAAGTAACTCTAAAAGGCAGAAAGGGTGAGGGTTGAGTCTTATGATACAGACAAGACTTGTGAACTGAGGCTTGTGGTGAGGAGATGGTGGACTAGGGCAGCATGGGGAATGCATGGGGAAATCATTGATGATGGGCTGGAAGAGGGCAAAGCCAAGATAGAATGGGGCAAGTGCTGCTGCCTGCATCCTTCGGGAGTCCATCCTGTATCCTTGTCCCTTTATAGGCAACTCTAGAGCATGAGAAGCTGGAGGCTGGCGTGAAGGGGAAGTTGCTGCATGGTGTATTGTTATGAGTTGCACATGTTGGGGTCCCTGGGTCACACGGAGGTTCAGAGCATCCAAGAAGAGCCCAGTTGCTCATTTGTTGGGGCTGCTTGGCTGGAAAGGTTTTGGCCAGTGACAGGAGGTGAGATGATGCTAGTGTCAGAGCCGTAAGGACATGGAAAGATCTACAGATTAATAGTTCCTCCCACAGAGCAGATCTGATGTTCTGCTGCAGCTGTGCTGGTCACAGAGGGTGACACCTACGGGTGATGTCACAGCACCCTGAGCACACAGGCCCCACTGAACCGCATCCTGGGTGGAAAGGACCATGATGTCATGTTGCTCGGACCACTTCTGGGGAAATGACTCGTGAAGACGGAGGTGGGGGAGCCAGGAGTTGCTGCCACTAAGGGACCGAGCTTAGCTGGTCGTCCACGTGAGCCCATCTTTAGGGACCACGCCATTCGCTTTCGCCTTTCTCGGAGCAGACATGCCTAAGGTTCCTCACAGGTGTTTTGACTGTGACCTATNAGCCTTTGTGGTGACCCAAAGCTTTCCTGGCTTCTGCCACTCACAGCATGATACCAACGCTGTGATGAAAAATACACCCCCCGCCTCGGTCTCCACAAGTTTCCGTCCTCTAGTGTCCCAAGGCTGCCTATAAAGAGAGGACGCAGCTCAGACCCCAGCAGGAGACTGCGGCTTCGGGTCTCCGGGTCCAGCTCCACTGGCCCCACCTGACCCTCTCACCCGCCCGGCGTCATGGAGCTCCCCGGGGCCGCCCTGGCTGTCCTGCTGCTCACCGCGGCCCTCTCTGCCCACTCCTGCTCGGCCAGCCGTGAGTCCGTCTTCCCTTCCTTTAGGCCTGTCCCCCACTCTTGGCCGGGGCTTGGGCCACAGGGCTGAAGTCTTTGACCTGAGCCCTTAAGCAGAGAGCTTCAGAGAGACTTCAGACACTATTTCCTGAGCAGAACTTTCCTTCCCAGGGGGGTTTGTAGCAGTTCTATTCTCTGGCTCTGAGAGACAGTGGGAGGGAAGCTCATTTTATGGATTCCTGGGAAAATGAGGCCCAGGCGGGATTCTGACCAAAGGTGGGATCTGTGTCCAGTGGGCTCCCAGTGTAGCCTTTGGTCTCCTCAAGAAGCCAGTGGAGACTCCCCAGGGAGAGATAAAGAAAAAAATAAAGTTTGTTCAGAAAACTAAATTCTTCACAGAGAGACGTGGAAACACCACATCTGGACAGACAAAGCATGTGAAATGTCACAAGAGAGACCCAGAAATAAAAATGTCAAGGGAAAGAAGAAATGCCCCCATCCCCACCCCCCAGCGCTGTCTCCTGCAGGTCTGCCTGACCCTCGAGGGGCAGCTGGCTGCCTTTCCCCCTGAACAAGGACTTAGCATGGTCTGTCCCGTCTCTCACAGTTGGTTCCATCACCCCAACGGACTGCTGCTTCTCCTTCGTCTCCCGGCAGATCCCGCGCAAATTGGTGGACGACTATTATGAGACCAGCAGCCAGTGCTCCCAGCCTGGCGTCATGTAAGGGCCAGCCTTCCTGCCCGCCCCGGGGAAGGAGCCTGGGGCTCTGGCCTGAGGCACCTCCTCGGAGCTCAGGACACGGGGATGGGGGGGCCCCACTGTGTTTTCTCACCTGGTTTGGGGCCTGCAGAGGGTCCTGGGGGTCTGCCCCTGGGCAGAGGGAGGAGAGGAGAGGGGTGACAGCAGGAAATTGTCCTCCCCTCTCATTTGCCAAACAACGATGCTGGCTGTCCGAGGGGACCCCCACAGGAGACCCAGGAAGGTCTGTGAACCCCAGGGTGAAGGGGACACGATATGAGCATGTGGACAGGCCCTGAGATGTCCGGGGCAGAAGGAGGGGGATCCCTGGGGGCCCAGGATCCCCCCCCCCTGCACTCACCAGTGTATAACCCTTCCGTTCTTCTCCACAGCTTCAAGACCAAAAGAGGCCGGCAGGTCTGTGCCGACCCCAGTGAGGACTGGGTCCAGGAATACATTACCGACCTGGAGCTGAATCCCTGAGTGGCCCGGGAGCTGCAGGGAAGATGTTCCCTCTACGGACAGTCGGGGAAGCAGGGCGATGACCCTGGGGCTCCAAAAGGCACCTCTTCTGTGGGTCACACCCCTTCCCCAGCCACTCACAGGGGCCCTCCTTCACTTTAATGTCTCCTATTTAACCTCTGTCATTTATTTCCACCGTGGAAGTGTGTGATGTCATGCACACCTGCTCTGACCCCCATCACCCTCTTGCCCACACATCCCTCCCCTTCCTCCGTAACTGTCCTCACCCTCAGCACGTGGGTCAGTCACTGTGATCGGTCCTCTCCTGGAGGCCAAACAGCAAATGCTGGTCAAGTGGTTTTGCCCAGGACCGTGACTCAAAACGTTGAAGGCTCTTCTATAAAAGGCAAACCAGCCTTTTCCTTGTGGTGACTCTCTTGATTTTGCTTTTCTAGCAGCCAGAATCATGGGTAGAGACTCATATGGGGTGAGGGGGGAGAATAGGGAAACATGAAAAGGGGCTGACCACGAGAAAGGAAACACATCCTAGAACGAGAACGCCAGACATTCCCCTGTCCTGGAAAGTTAAAACTGGCACATTAATTTTTTAAATTTATTTTTATTTTTAAAAAATATTTCTTTGTTTATTTTTGTTTGTGTGGGATCTTAGTTCCCCGACCAGGGATTGAACCCGTATTCCCTGTATTGGAAGGTGAATTCTTCACCACTGAACCGCCAGAGAAGTCCTGACATGTTATTTTATAACCAAATCATTATTTACCTACTTAAATGAAAACCAAGGTGGTGTGTATTTGTGAACACAATTGCATTTTTGTATATGATTTCCTCAAAATAATGGCTCACACTTGTTGAGGGCTTATCGAGTGCTAGGTTTTATGATCAGTGCTTATAGTAGTGCTGTGCCAGCTGCTTACCTTGGTGACAGATAAGCCAACCTTGCCTGCAGTCTAACAAGAATACCCTAGCCACCAGTTGATGGAGAGTCTGGCTCACCTTCGCCATTGTTCTGCACTCTGCTTTTTGGGGGAATATTTTTCAAGCCTATATCTGAGCTGAGATTTGGGGGCTAGAGTGGCCAGAGTTAAATTAAAAAATATGGGATGAAGAATTCTTTTGCATAAGGATATCCCATGCAATTGTTGGGACATACTTATACAAAAATTATTTGTTGGGTATCTGAAGTTCAATTTTACCTAGGGTTGCTGTATTCTACCCGGTGACCCTACTTGGGGAGCACACCTCTCATTAAGGCTGCCTGTTTCCTGTTGAAGTTGGGTACCTAAGGATTGGCTGGAATGCAAGTACTTTTCAACATTGAATTCACATTAGAATCACTTGGTGGTTGTTTAGTTGCTCAGTCGTGTCCAAGTCTTTGTGACTCCATGAACTGTAGCCCACCAGGCAAGAATACTGGAGTGGGTTGTCATGCCCTTCTCCAGGGGATCTTCCCAACCCAGAGATTGGCAGGCAGATTCTTTACTGCTGAGTCACCAGGGAAGCCTCAGAATCACTTGGGAGAACTCTTTGAAAACTTCATTGCCAAGAGCTCGCCTCCAAAGTTAGGGCTCTAATGAGATCTAGGTGAAACCTGGGCATCAGTGATTTTAAAATGTTAGTAGTGCACACCTAGTTTGAGAAGTGACGTTGGGGTGTAGTCATAGCCTGTTTTTGGCTGGTCTTGGGGGTTTCAGAGGTGATACAGCTCTCTCCCGGTTTTTCAAGGCTTCTGATCTGTTTTTCTTGTCAGGTTCGTTGGATGGTTAATTAGCAGGAAATCTGTCCTGTCAGCTACTGTTACTTTCAGGACGGGGTTTTAGGACTCCTCTCTCATAGCACAGTGCTGGGAGCTCTGGGCATCCCGTTTCCCCACCCCTCTCACCCATGTAACTGGTTCCGGGCTCCACACTGCCCTCTGCTGATGAAACGATGCCACAGGCGGGGAGGTTGCCCTGATCACCTCCCTGCCNTCAAAGTAAAGTGGTTCCATGGGTGTGTGCTTTGTTCTGTTTTTTGGTTCATGAAAGGATAGTTATATTACAGCAACTAAATATTTATATTACTGTTCCACATATTTGGGCCACGGATTTGATAAGACATAAAATATATATTAAAATATACTACCATTAAAGTATCTGATAAGTAAATAGTAGTTGCCTAAACTTTGTAAAAGTCTAGAAAGTCTGCCAGATTTAGGTTTGAACTAAATGATGTGAAATCATATTCTTGCTTCTATTGTTTTGATTCACACTATTAATTTAGTTTGTAAAATACTACCATGATTGGGCATGGGTTTTTTTTTTTTTTTTTTTTTTTTTTCAAAAAAACCTTTGACTTTTGTCTTGGGCTATGTATTGGGCCATAGACGATTAACAGTGTTGTGATGGTTTCGGGTAGACAGCAAAAGGATTCAGCCATGCATTACATGTATCCATTCTGCCCCAAGCCACCCTCCCATCTCCCCTGCCACATAACATTGAGCAGAATCCCCTGTCCCATACAGTAGGTCCTTTTGGTTATCCGTTTTCAATATGGCAATGTGTATGGAAGGTTCTGGAGCTTGAACCTTCTTCTCATTTACACCACACAGATTGGAGAATCATGTATCCCACCTTATCTAAAGAAGACCCCATTTTTGCTGGTTATGCCAGAATATTACTAATAGTATCCTCTCTGACTCTCAAAATGCCCATCCTAACAATAGTAGGTCTACTGCTTGAAAGGTCTCTAATGACATGTGCTGGTGAGACGGTCTCAGGGTTGATATCCATAAAGGTCTGTGACTGTGTGGGCAAAGGATGCTGAAATCTAGTCTGCATGACCCCTAGACAGTCTTACACCCAACACAGGACCAGGTGTACTCCAACAGGGAGCCTTTTCTTAATGCCCTCAGACTAGCAAAGGCCCAGGTGTGCTGCCAGTGGTGTGGGTGGAGAGAGAGGTGAAGGATGCAGGCAAGAGTAGGGTGCTGACATCAGGGAACTAGACAAAGGAAGGACCCACAGAACCCCTTCCATGCAAAGAAAGGCATGTGCTGCCCCAGAGAGCACCAGTGACTTGTTGGTATTAAAAAGAGAGGCAGAGAAAACAAGCAGAAGGGAACAGGGACTACATCTGTGTGCAGTTACAAGAAGCTTTCTTTACTGCATTATCACCCCACATAGACCGTCTTCTCCCCAACACACCAGAAGAACTAGCCCTTTAAAAGAGAGGAGGGGAAGGGGTCCAGGACCAAGCTAAAGCTTCATCTTGCTCCAAAACCTTTAAGCCTGATTTGTACCAGTGGGAGGTGTGGAGGGGGTGAGAAGTGGAAATGAGATCAAATTTGAGGTTGGAGTTTTAAACAGAAAGAATTTTAATTACTGAATGTGGTCAGAAGGCTATGATCTGCCCAAATGATGTTAAGGTTGGTGGAAGAAAAGTTCAGCATTTTATGTTTATTTTCTGTAATCGTTAGGATCAGTTCAGTTCAGTTGCCCAGTCGTGTCCAACTCTTTGCCACCCCATAGACTGCAACACGCCAGGCCTCCCTGTCCATCACCAACTCCCGAAGCCTGCTCAAACTCATATCAATCAAGTCGGTGATGCCATCCAGCTATCTCATCTTCTGCCATCCCCTTCTCCTCCTGCCTTCAATCTTTCCCAGCATCAGGGTCTTTTCCAATGAGTCAGTTCTTCGCATCAGGTGGCCAAAGTATCGGATAAGACAGGATAGGACAGGCTATAGCTAACTAACAAACAACCCCCCAGTGGATTAACAAAATAAAAGTTTCTCATTGGCACCAGATCTGATGTAGATCAGGTCACTGGTTCTCAAAATTGAGTGTGCACCAGAGCCACCTGGAAGGCCTGTCTAAGCACAGAGTCCTGGTCCCCACGGCAGAGACTCTGATGCTACGTGTCTGGGATCTGGCTCAGCTCCGCTTTTCTCATGGGCTTTCAGGTGACGCTGATGCTGCTGGTCCATGAACCATATTTGAGCAGTACTGACCCCAGAGCGGCTTGCCTGTAGGTGGTGACCCAGGAATCCAGGCAACTTCCATCCTAGCAGCTATTGATTCTGGAATAAGGAAGAAGAAGACAGAAAAGGAATGCTCCTTTTAACTATCCTGGCCCAGAAGTGACACACATCACCTCTGCTTACAGTCCATTCACCAGAAGTAGTCACAAGAGGCCAATTCATCTGCAATGTAGGGAAACACATAGGCTATTGATGTTTAGGGAGCGCTAACGTCTCTACCAGTTACTCTCAACAAGAGATTAACCAATGAAAGGGGGCCTTCTAAGGCGAACTTTTTGTTGGATACACCAGGTGGCTAACGGGATCTTAGTTCCCCAATCAGAGACTGAACCTATGTTCTTGGCAGTAAGAACCAAGTCCTAACCACTGCGCCACCAGGGAACTCCTGACCAATGTGAATTGCAGTCTAGGCAGGTACTTACAGCTGCCCATGTGAAAGTTATATTCCATATTCAGAGTTTTAAATTAATATCATTGATACCTTTTCATCTCAGCACATTCATATCAATACTTCTTCCTTTTTAGTGGTTTCGTATTTATTATGTGGGTGTACTATGACATTTTTAAAATTTAGAATGTTTGTGCACTGTTTTTTTGTTTGTTTTTGGCTGCACTGGGTCTTTGTTGCTGAGAACAGGCTTTCTCTAGCTGGAGCCATCGGGGGCTTCTCCTCATCACGGTGCACAGGCTTCTCATTGCAAGGGTTTCTCTTGTTGAGGAGCGTGGGCTCTAGGCTTCTGGGTGAAGTTTATGGGCTTCAGGAGGTGTAGCAACAGGCTCAGGAGTTGTGGCTCGCAGGCTCAGTTGCTCCTTGGCATGTGGGATCCTCCCAGACCAGGGATCGAACCCTTGTCCCCTGCATTGGTAAGCAGATTCTTACCCACTGTGCCACCAGGGAAGTGCATGTACTATGATGTTTTAAACTATTCTCTCTCTCTTTTTTTTTTTTTTGATAAATTTGTTTCTCTTTCATTGCTTTCACTAACAGGTCTGCAAAGAACTGTGTGCCTACACCTTTATATCTTTACATAGTGTTTTTTGAAATAGATTCCTTGAAATAAGATAGATTGAAGAGTATGTACATTTTAAAATTTGCTAGAAACTGTCATTATGCTTCAAAAACACTGACCATCAAAATTCCACCTTTTAATACTAAAAAAAAAAAGTGCTAGTGTTAAGTCGCTTCGGTCATGTCTGACTCTGTGGCCCTGGGGACTGAGATATTGAGATATTTTTACAATACTGTATTAGTTTCAGGTGAGCAACATGGTGATTCAAAATTTTTATAACTAATACTCCATTTATAGCTATTATGGGGCTTCCCAGGCTGTGCTAGTTCTAAAAAGTCTGCCTGCCAATGCAGGAGACTTAAGAAATGGGGGT